AAGTCACCTAAAGTCGGTAATACCTTGTTCAAAGTTGCGGTGCATATGGAATGAATTGGGAAAAGAAGTATATCGTAAAGCAGTAGTAATGGAGTACTGTCGCCAAGTTTCCGTAGACCAAAAATTAGTGCGGAACTTCTAGGTTGTGAAAGAAACGGCTTTCGCGTTTCCTACCATGTCGACAACCTTTGGTCACTTTTGTACTATGCATTTTATGTGATGCATTTATTTCACGATATAACGTGGAAACAGATTTATTGTACGCATGCATTATACAAATAAACAACTATAAGCAGAATGGACAGACAAATTCAGCGTTAGTTCATCCTGAGGCGGAGGGAAGACACCTTACATCGAACTCCAAATTTACACAAGCTCTTCAGTCACGTTGATTAATAGTGGCAGCGATACGTGGTTTACAGCCGTGAGTTTTTTCTAAGTCGTCGCAAGCGCTTCTTCTACAGTGTGAACACTACAGCCTCGCGGGTGGTCCCAAGAGCAACTCACAACTATACTTAGTAGGAAACCGGTAAATAAAAGCCACCGACTAATTCCACTGGAATTTAGAGCTGAAATATGAAGAGCACTATGATGTTAAGCACCTTCACGAATTTATAAATGGAGGAAAAAAAAGGAAAACGCCTGTCTTTTTCTGCGCTCGAGCAGTTTATAAAGCAAATATGGCACGCGAGTGGATAAAGACGATAATAATGCCTTGCAGAGGACAAGATATGAAAAGGGTAGGTGCATAAACTTGTAATCACATTAAGCAAAAAAGAACATTTATGGACGGGTAGCCGCAGGAGATCTGGATGCCCAGTCTTTGGTGAGCATATTGAAGTAGAGGGAACCGTGCTCTCGGGCTTCCACATGTGTCTCATTACCAAATGTAGACTTCACACTGATAAACTCTGGATGCGTCTTGTGTTGTGCAGGAAACCACTTTGAGAAGATATTCATCTAAAGAAACATTTGAACAAATTTCACAGAATGTTCGTTTTTACTTACATGTTTGGTGAGCTTTCGAATCTCCACTTTCCATCGATCATTATATCTATAGATAACGCACACTATGACAAAGCCATAACTAAAATGATTGCAGTCATATCCGTCAGTGATTTTGCGGTAACACGAAAGCATCTTCAAGATCTATCCAGCAAGTTTTGGAGCTAATACAGCACTCAATGCAGGATGGATCAAAATAGCCACAACCGGCTATTGATCGCGCGATACTATAGCGCGTCTCAAGTTTGGACTTCCTGCCTGTCCGGTGCATTTTTCTTCCATGAACTCCTTACCTACTAATAAAAACTCATAAACTCCAATCTAACTGCAATTTGGTCCCTACTGAACCCTCTACACTCAAAGTACGACCAATTTTTAATAATTTGCGCGAGAGCGCCTGCGGGCGGGAGAGGATGGTTTATTAATAATGTTCTTCTGCAAGTGCCCAACTTCCCCTTCCACTTAGCGCAAAAGTTTTTGAATCGTCTGCGCGATACACAGTTGATCATGACCGCATCTTGGAATCTTGAAGTTGATGCCACAAACGTTAGCTATGAGTTCGCAAGTCTGAGCATCTTGAAAATAACAAAATTTCGTCAATTCCTAC